GTCAAATAAATGAAAACACCAATTAGTAATTTCTAAAACCGAATGTAGTTGAAATATTTAATTATAATAGTAATAATCATAACCATTAAATAATAAATAATAAATATTAAATAATCATTAAATAATCATTAAATAATAATTAGAGTCCGTAGATTTTAACAATGTAATTGTAAACCAGACCCAAAATTTTAGCTATTATGCACCCTGTATATATTATATACAATGTTAAATCTGGGGACTCTAATTTCACAAATCTGCCGATATGATCAAATAATTATTATTAAATGAGGCGGCATCAATCGAGATTAAATAAATAGGAACACAAGATTAATTGTAACATGGTACGGGTATTTGTAACAACTGAGTCAGTATAATAAACTATATCGGACATCAATATAGATAATTAATCAACGATACCCCACAATTTTTTTAGTCTCAATTGCTACATTTTGATTGACGAACCCTCAAATAATAAACCATTATTATATGAGTGTCGCCGGCAATTCTAAAAATAGATTTATTATGAAACTTTAAAATAAATCTATTTTTAGAATTGCCGGCCCTCCCTTCGCGACAATCTATTATTATTATTCTTATTATTACTACTGCTATTATTATTACTATTACTATTATTATTATTATACCGTTATATCATACCAATCAGAAACGCCTTCAACCATTCTTTTAGCAGTAGTTTCCAAATCTAACGTATAATGAAATTTCCATCTCTCCAATTTTTTTTCTTCTTCCACATCATTGTAAGTATTTCCATCTTCATTATCATCTTCCCCTCGATTAATTACTTTTAATTTTTTAGGTGCTTCTACCGGTTTAATTTCAATAAATTGTCTTATTCTATGTTCATACAATCCAAATACTACCAATTGTCCGTTAATTAATGATCCTAATAACCCGGTTCTTAGAAATTCTTGTTCAAAATATTCGGGTTTTGAGGTGTCAGGTGGTACGAATATTGGTCGTGCATGAAATATTGATTCGGTATGATTAGCTAAATTCCAAAACCCTCCAGATAGTGAAGGCGAATCTACCCATATTTCTCCTACTGTATCCGGAAGACATAATGCTCTTGTCTCTGGATCTACTACTGCTATGGTTGCTATATAAAATAAGTTGTAAATACCAATTCGGTCATGTGATACGTATTACTATATATTACAAAGCTAGGATCTCATGTAATTAAATCATAATTAGCGTACCTTCTGGCATTACAAATCCAAATGCACCAACTCTTATAAACCTTTTATCCTTTTTTTTTTCCTCCCTCACCAGACCATATAATAACCTTATTCTCTTTCAACCCTTCCCTGCTCAAGAAAAATTCTTTCACTCCTCTTTGACCTTCATTACGATCATCAAGTCCTTTAACTCCCAATAAATCACCAAAACTAAGTATCATGCCTCCATGTTCTGGTAAACTAATTAATGGAGTTATTATATCTAGTGGATATTTTACTCCTAATGGACCTAAAAACTTTTCAGCTATAATTTCATTTATCATGGGATCAATCGTTAGTGTATCTATTAATAACAATCGGAGAGACCGTAAATTTGGTGTGTCTTTTTTAAATTTCGTATTTTGTGTTGAATTTTCATTTTTGAAAGATGTTACTATCGGATTTAAACCCGGGTAATCAGCTAATGCGATTGTTACTTTTTAAATCAAGAAAAAAAATATATATTATTAAAATTATATTATAAAATTATAATAAAACTAATGATAAATATTCATTAACTAAGAATAATATAAATTACCTTGATATTTAGAAACGCAATTCATCCAAAGTCCTGGAGTGTCCGGTCCAAGACTTGCCAAAAATACTGTCAAATTTCCATAATAAACACCCCATAATGCACCTAATAACAATCCTACTTGTTGTCTAGGTTCTAAATAAGTTAATAATGTGTCTTGTGCCAACATATTTGCTTCTTTACTTCCTTCACCCAGTTGCTTTCGACCTTTATTGTCTATAACACTCCCACTCATTACTTTACACTGAGCTAATATTGTTTTATGACTTATCACTACACCTTTCAATTCGCCATTAGGACTTTTAGTATACTCAATGTACGCTAAATCGGTAGAATTATACTTTCCAAGTTTTTCACCTTTCTTCATTGAATTAAAATCATCAGTTTTCCACCACAATACACTTTTTGGTAATTCTTTTTGTTGTTTTGATAGATCTTGAGTAAATACTTTATAATTATTATTAGTTGTGAGTACTAATTTAGCATTTGAACTTTCAAGTATGAATAAAAGTTCATCAAATTTTTCAACAGCATTAATTGGAACAGCTACAACACCAGCAAAAAAACAACCAAATAAAGCAACTAAAAAGTCAAGGATTTCATTTTTACGATATATTAATGCAACCCTTTCACCCACCATTAATCCACTATCTCGTATTATAATTTGTCCCATTCTTTCAGCTTTCGAATTCAATTTTTCCCAAGTAAAATCACCAGACTCACGTCCTTTTTGATCAACCGCTAGAAAAGCTCTCTTTTTTGGAGTATTATTACTCCTGTATTGAAGGATCGAAGCTATATTAGAAAAATCTGAAAGAGGTTGCGAAGAGTTCAATGGATCAGTGATCTTAAAAGGGATTTCACGAGGTTCGAACGGCATGAATTGTTTTCCGGCCAATTTTGAAAGACTTGGATCGAAATCTTCCAAATCTTCTAAGGCATCAATATATACCGGATGATTGTATAATGTAAATCTATCATTATCTTGTTATAGATATTGTAAAATTATTATTATTATTATTGTTATACAGTATTAGTTCAAATATATGTAAATATATATATAACAAGAAATTACTTCTTCTAGGTATATCTCCAGGTTTAATGAATCTTTCATCACTAGGTATGGTTTGATTTGTTGAACCATCCAACCTGAAACCATATGATTTACTAGATATAATTGATGCATTATCATCTTGAAATCGACAGATAATAAATAATTAATATAATCATATATAATGAAATAATTATAGTAATTAAATTAAAAAATCCTAATATTATTACCTTCAAAACTTGGCCTTCTCATCTCCAGTTCTTCGTTAATAAGCTTTTGTGTCCTTCCAGCCAATGGAATTTCATTATTAAAAGGTGGTCGAATATGTTGCACCGGTCGTGGTTGAGGTCTGATAACATGTGGTCCAGGCATTGGTCGAGGCATTGTGCCATACATACCATTACCTGCGTATGGAATCGTATATGGTGGTGGTGGTAATGGTGGTCTAGGTCTCCCTGGTAGATGCATACCTGAACCATAACCGATTGGTGAAGGATGATAAGGTAATGATGAATTATAGCCATGTTGTGGTTGTACTGGCATATAACCCGGTGTAGGTGGCAATGACTTACTTCCCCATCGTGAAGAGTTAGGATCTAAAGATGGAGGTACAGGTGGCGTCATAGAAAAATTTAAATTGGATCCGTTCAATTGTTGAGAATCAGTTTTTCGCGACATAAAAACAGGCCTCTGATTAGAAGTATCTATTGCATCGACACTATGAGTACGAATATGCGAATGTACGCTTGTATGTGAAGGCATTATTATATTGCTTGAATGACGATGCTGATTCGGATAACCAAATGATGGAATATCCTTATTAGAAAGTTCTTCACCATTCAAATAAAGTTTATGTTTGGGGTTATTATTGCTCATATCCTCTGATCTATAAGGTTGTAAATTAATATCTCCATTCGTAGCGTAAGAATTTTGTAAATTATTTCCGTTATCAAGTGACGCTCCTCCGTTATAATCAGACGATACTGAATTAGAAGTAGGTATGAAAGGTGTCGACATTGCAACCTTGTTTTCGACAGAAATAAAATCTTTATACTTTTCTAGTAATGCATTCTTTTCTTTTTCGAATCCTTTTTTTGTGATATATTCATCGTCTAATGCTTTTTGCAGCTCTGCTAATTTAGAATGAAATTCTGGCGGTAAAGTTCTAGTATCCATCTTTAAGTCGATAAGTTGAATTAAATAATGTATATATGGTGAATATAAATATTGGTATGCCCGTTAAGAAAAATGCGCTCTTTAAGTATACAGTAATGGAGTAAAGAAAGTTTAATAATAGAAGTTTAAATCTATGCTACACGTTCGAATTACGCTAGTTAAGTCAAGCATTAAGGAATTGTTTAAAGGAGTAATGACAGTAAAACTTGCGATTGCTTTTTCGACCCTTATATAAACTAATGCAGAAAATATAGAGTCAGTAAACATAAATCGGCAGTACTCTACTTTAAATCCGAATCACTACTCACTAGTTCAAGGGTTGAAAAAGAATTCAAGGTATTGTAATAGTGGTTGATTCACGCGTGAGTTATAATTGTAATATAAGAACGTTGCGATATTAAGTACGTATTTGTATGTATTAATGTTTTACGATATGTGCGTGCACTTCACTTCGAATACTTAGTACAAGGAAATTTAAATTTTTTATTATTGATTGGCAACTTTATTTGTGTAAGGATACCAAAAAATGATCACCCATCACAACTTTCCGTAATAGTGTAAAAATCTGATTGCATGCAAAGTGAATTTCTTTGAAAGGGAAATAAAAAAATTTTGATTTTTTAACTGGAACAGATCTCTGAAGTCTCCAATAAAAAACTTATATTTCAAACTCTTCATGTTAACAGGATGTAAGGCGAGTGTTAACAATTAAGCACCTACTTTGCGGGCCAGGCACTAGGCGTTAACCTGAAGTTGTGTCTTACATAGATCTGAACATAAATTATTCTTAGACACAACTTGTTTATTTAGCTATTGTATTTTTGAAGTTGATAATTTGATATCCAATCAAATTATAAAAATAACGTTAACGATAAATCGCTAGATTAAATGTAACATTTGTCTTTGTTGCTTGGGAACACCTATCAAATTCCAATAACCAACTATATATATAGATTTATATACGCATATACGCTCATCAATACGTCAAAGAACAATGCAGCCAAAATGTATTATGAAGCTATAGTAGCGCGCTACAGTAGTTATATTATTTGAAGTTATATATCTAAAAATATATATTTTTTATAAAAAAAAAACCTTTTTCTGTTACTGGATCTAATCAGAAATGGAATTGACTACGTAGTACAGTACGTACAGTATATGCTTTTTTAAAAACCTTTTGTATATATATCTGTATATATAAATTATAAAATTATAAAATTTGATTTTTAATACTCCGGACTCGGAAAATACAAAGATTGGACTCGATCAAAAAATGACATCAGAGTCAACCGGGTAAGTATTACAATAAGAGGATACTCGCAGGTACACTCGAACTTAAAAATTGTTTTTAAAGAAAAATAATTTAATAAAGTTTTTTTTAGCATATAATTCGTTTTCGTATTACAATGCATGCATAAAAATTCTCCATCATACACGTACGTACGTACGTACTTTATTCATTAACGTTAATTTATTATTGATATAAAAGAAGATTCATTGGTCTAAACATTTAATCTGTAATTCAAGTACGTACGTATTAAGTTCCGAAATATATTTATCTCTCATCTTATTTTCTTCACTACGATAATAAAGTCTACCCTCAATATAGTCACCTCACATCATATCTGAGATGTAATCACATTTACGTTGAGGTCAAAATCTCCATATAGTCACAACTCCTTCATAAGCACATTTGTAAAAAATTGTTATGTTTCAAACTGTATAACAATAATGTTACTGCAAACCTTGCGTTACCAAGCATTAAAGGCCTGCAAATTACCGACCCGAAATATAAATATGTATCCAAAAGTAAGCTATTTATCTATTTTGGTTAATTTTAAGTATAAAAAATTTAAAAATAGTATATTTTTAAATTAATCAATTTTAATTAATTGCAGTCTTGATTTATTAAATAAAATTATAAAAATATTTAAGTTATTCTTATATAAATTAGATAATTTTTGTAGAAAATTAACACCTGCTTAACCAAATTTAAACTTTTTTTTGTTTGAATTTTATAATTTTTTACAAATTTGGTTAAATGAATGTTGAGATATCTTTAATCAAAATTTTTATAAAATTTTAAGTGCTTATCAAATAGAAATTGTATTAAAAATTGAGTTAAAACTTGATTAAAGTTATCTAATTAGATTTGATAATCTTTTTAATTTTATTTATTATAAAATATATTTATAGTAGTTTTGTATCTATATATTATAGTATATGCTTTTATTATATTTTTTTAGATTTTTCTATTTTTTTATATGGTTTTACTAAATCATATTAGTGGTGTTTAATACACATCAATTTTAATTAATAAAATCATTGATCTGCAGTATAATATTAAGATTGGATATAATTAGGATGTAGAATGGGCTGGGCTAAACCTGAAAATTTGGGAACCAGGCCGGATTTGGGCCTAGTTTGGACTTATATTTTTAAGCCTGTTTATTATTTGGACCAGGCTCAAACTAGACTTAAAAAGTATCAGGTCAGACTTAGGCTTATTGAAAAGCTCAGATAGTCTAATAAACTATATATATGCCTAACAACCCTAATGTTACTCAAAAAAAATGATACATATATAGCTGTATTACATATATATATACATACAATTTTATAATTTTATTGGATTTATTATTATTATGCTGAAATTACAAACTTGTATATATCTTTTATATATAAGGATATAAAGATATATAGGCTGCCGTCAATAGAAATCAAGCAAATCTACATTTGAAAAAAAATTAATACCTTAAATTTCATAGTACATAACTCGATGAATTTTAAAGATATCTTGATGATTTAATATTCAAAAGAAAGCCTACGATCTAAGCTTTTTTTTGAATATTAAATTATTAAGATATATTTAAAATTCATCGAGATATGAACTATGAAATTTAAGATATTAATTTTTTTTCAAATATAGATTTGTTTGATTTTTATTGACAGCAGCCCATATATTAGTATATAGTGCAGAAATTTGCATATAAATTTTTAATATATAATTTTTGTTATGTAAATAATATTGTTCAAAACTTTATAAAGCTGATATACAAAGTCTAATAATACTAGCAAAATTTTTGTAATGCAGATCAATAATTATATATCACTGTATTAGTTAATAAAAAAGTTATATTAATTTTATTAAATTAATTATACTGAAATAATAACTTAACTAGAACAGCTAAAATATCATTTGGCAGATTTTTATCAGATGTTTCAGAAATTATAAAAATAGCTGTAATAGCAGTAGATAGACAGATCAAGTCAGGCTAAGCTGGGTCTGATTTTAAATAGATCTGGTCCAGGTCTATAACACCAGACTTTTATTTTTTTCAGGCTGGGCTCAGGCTCAAAAATATTTTTTAGGTTTGTTTTAGGCTCAATAAAGCCTAGCCTGACCTGGCCCATTTTATACTCTAATAATCACAAATCATTAATTACTAAGCATAATCACTAATCATTAATTACTAAATATAATTGCTAATCATTAAGTATTAAGGCTAATCATTATACGCATTCAAAAAATCTGTACTCGGTTATGCATGATTAT